AATCATTTTTTGACTCAAATATTTTTTAAAGAATTCTTAATAATTTTATTATTATGCATTTATCAACTAAGTAAATATTATTATTTTTTTATCATTAATACTCAAATAATTTAATGAAATAGTCTTATTTAGTCTTTCTTTTTTTAAGAATATATTTTTCTGTAATAATTTGCAGAAAAATATTCATAAGAATATTGTTATTATCGAAAAAATTTTCTCTAGAATATTCATTGGTGGTTACATAAATGTATACTGTATAAATTATTTTATTGTTAATAGTACTCAATTTAATATTTAAAATGATATATTAATTAAGATACAATAGGATTTGTTGATTATCTCTTTTTACCATATTATTTATTAGATTTTAGGATATTCTAAACGCGGGTGTGTAATAAGTGTCTCACTATCTTAGGAAATATTTTGTCATTTTAGTTGAAAATTTCTTAATATAAAGTTGCCTCCAATAAAAACTTAAAAAATTAGAATATTATTTACAGATCTTTAAGTATGGTTTAATCACTAGTTCAAAAATTTTTCTAATGTTGTTGAATAAGTTCTTTACTATTAGTTACTTATATATTAGCCTATATCGATCGTCAATATAGATGCTATTAAAATACAACAGAGAAGCAATACATTTTATAAAAAGATATACACACATAATGATTCATACACAAAACTGTAAACATACACGAATTCAGTTGTAATTTTTTAAAACGCATTACATACTGCGTTGAAAATAAATATTTAAATATTTTAATGATTATCTAGAGTTATATTTTTTAAAGAGGAAGTAATTGCAAATAATAGTGTTTTAGAGTAACTTCAAATTGTTGGTGTTTATAAATTGGCATATTTAATCATATAATAAAGGAAAAAAAAATCTTAATAATATAAAGTTATGAATAGTTTTTTATTTTTCTTTAAAGACTATTATTTTTCATTAAAAAGCTTTCTCATAAAAATTTACTAAATAATGCAATTATTATAAAAATGATTAAGTGTTTGTAAATTCAGCTTAAGGAAAAGTATTTAACGTTTTACATTAATACAAAATACATTACTGCATAATAAGTAACTAAACAGCAAAAGAAGTCAAAAATAATAAAATAACTTAAACATAGTAAGTTATATAGAAAACTATAATATGTAATAAACTAAACAATTTTATCACATAGTAGTAATTTAAAAGTTTTAAAAACGATGTATTTTTAATATCAATATTATTTCCTATAGTATTTTTTTACTGAAAATATTTGCAATATTATACGAGTATATCAAATTTTATTAAAGTTTTGAGAAGTTTCAGTTTAATTTATTATTATAAGTAATCATTCAATTATTTTTACACTATTTCATTAAAATACTTTGTACAATTTATCAAAAAATTTGTTTTGAATTCATTTGCTAGATTTTTTTTTGATTTAAAGGTAATCAAATATTATTTTAGGTTCATCTTTTATCATTTATATGAGTACCATTTTTATTTTATTTAATGTTATTTCAAAAGTTATAAGTATCTTTATATTTAGGTTGGAGGAGGAGTGTGACAGATTAATGGAAAAATAATATACATAATACGCACTTTGTCTCAGTATACATTTTAAAGTGTTAATACTAGTTCAAAAATTGTTTCGACCAGTTATTTTCTTAGATAGACCTTAGATTGAGTCTTATTTTCCAAATAAAGAGATTTTTTTGTTTTAGAACATACAAATTGGGTGGTCGGCTCTATTAGTTCTTACTACAGTATTAAATATAGTTGTTACCCAGAGTTATGGCTCTGCGAAGCTATGTACTATGGGTATATTAGAGCATTCATTTTGAGGCTTAGCTAAATTATCCGCAGAAAAAAGCTTATCAGTTAACATATTTTAAATTCTAACTTCGGAAAATCGGATTTCCAGAGTTTTACCATACCCTAAAAAAAATTTCTTCAACAACACTACTACTATTTGCATTATAAAATATTAAAACTTTATGTATGCAATTAAAGGTTGAAAATTATTATATTTATAAAACAGAAAGTAACTAAACTTAATCATTTATTATTTTTATTTTTATTAAAAAAGTAAATCAGTAAAGTTTTGAAAGATACCAAAAGAGCGAAGGAAAATTTTTGTGGTACCTAAATTTAAAGGCAAAGCAGAGATACAGGAATGTGGAAATAATAGATGGTCAACGATATGGCCTTTATTTTTTGTGAGACAATTAATAGAAAAGTATCTGAAAAATATGAAAAAGCTTAGTATGGTATTCATAGGTTTGGAAAAGGCATACGAAAGAGTGTTAAGATACCGTGAATTATATAAAAGAAAATAACTTAGATGATTTAGTCATATTATGATGAGAGAATAATCGGAATCTATAGAACGGTTATAGAAATGAATGATAAAAAAAATTGAGAATGAGAAAAACAAAAAAAAAACCCAGCACAGGGGGGTCGCGGCACAATGGTGACGTGGCATAGTTGGATCAAGTATAATGATATCTGACAGTGATTAAAATCACTATCAAAAATAAACGCTTCGATGCAAATCTTTAGATAGTGTTTAATTTTAAAAAAATTGGTGTTTTATTCCAAAAGCTACTTGATCTGCTGGTTCCTTATTAATATCTCAATTAAGATAAAGTATGTCGAATGAAAAAGGGTTTATTAAAAAATATTATTTCTCATAAAAAAATTGTGTGGATCCATAAACTTTTCAATAAGTTATAGCATTATAAAGTTAAAT